CCAACTGCTATTGGAACGATACATCAGGAACCTTGTATTAAATTTTAAAGTTGTTTGACCAAACAAATACAATTTTCTTGCTAATATTTATAGAAAAAAAAACTAACATAATTGAAAACTGTAAATGTCCGCAAACAGCTCAAACAGCTTTTGAAAATTACTGGAAATTTTAAATTTTGACCTCCCTAATGCACCAACAATATTCACTTTCCAGTCGAATAAGATACTGAAGTTGAAAATCGAAGCATTATTTCGACTATTTACTATGTAGACAGACACAAAAAAAATATAAAAACTAAAAAAAAATAAAATAAAAAAATATACACATCATTGTAAAATCAATACATTCATCGTTTCACTCAGAATCTAAAATCTGAATCGAACAAAAAAATTATGATTGAATATATTTAATATATATTATATACCAAACACAGACACACTCTCCGTTTTTTATTCTCTAAATAGTAGGTAATAGATATACATTTGAAATAAAACTAAAGATAATAGATATTACAAATGTAATCCCACAAACGAGTGATCTTTAAGCCCAGAAATTATGGCAAATAGCTATTTGTAAGAGGAGAGGTACGATTGGACTGGAACACGTGTGTATTATTTGTCTGTGTGGCAAAAACTTATCACTAAAAACCCGGAATATCACCAATTCGGGAACTAGCGAAACCGCCCCGTGGTTGCCCTCAGAACACGTTTCATGACTGAATGCAACTAACAAGCAACAGTCTCAAGGACTGTAATAAGTCAATTTTTTTATCATGATATGCAACATATAACGTTATATTAGCACCACCACGGAAATTTGGTTTTTTGGGGCATTTGGGGAGGTGTACAAATGTGTACAAATAAAATAACAATCGTTGGTACCATTTTGGAGCCCCTATGTCGAATGTACAAAAAGTGGGGTGCTGGTGTAACGTTACATTAGCACCACCGCGGAAATTTGTTTTTTTGTAGCATTTTGGGAGGTGTACAAATGTTTATATTAGGATTATAAACGTGTACAAATGAAATAACAATTGTTGGTATATTTTTTTTGGAGGTATATTGAATATGGTGGTGCTAATGTAACGGTCAAAGGACCTCAGTCAGGTCATACGAATAATCACGTAAATCGTTTTTCAACTTCTTGTTACGGAGATTACGGACGAAATGAAGGTCGTACGTACTTGGACCATAGAGCCTTTTCGATTTTCCGTACGCCAAATAGTCGGATTCTAGAGTTCGGTAGCGATCGACGGGGAAAAAAAAACCAAAAATGCACACGCCCACTTCATTTTCCAAGTACGAAAAATAAACTAAAAATCATAACTCCACAACCAAACGTCGGATCACCTCGCTTCACCCGGGTGGTTGTGCAAATAACACTTAAATTAATGAATTAAAATTGAATAATAGATCGATCAACTCGAATCCTAGTACCCCTCGATTTTAACGTTTAATCATGATTTCGATATTTAGAAAAAACAGCTGAAATAACAATCGTTGGTATATTTTTTTTTGAGAATATTGAATATGGTGGTGCTAATGTAACGGACCTTGACCAGTCGTTTCCTTACGGTATACGTCTGTATAACGTTTTAATAAATAATTTTTTTGAACTTTGTTCGCACTCGTAAGTATGTAATTTACTGCAGGGGTGCCGGTGCAATCCACCCACGTCGTGAGTCCTGGTGTCGATCGGGGTAGTTGTGATTTTTCGTCAAAAAATCGAGAATTACACCCCCCCCCCCTCCCGATGAGAACTTTTGACTTATGTCGGGCATCATGCGGCAACGGTATGATTGTTCATAAGTTTGGTACATTCGTAAAATATAACCATCCACCCAACATCTATAAAAAAAAATACGTCCCTGGAAAGGGTAGGTAGTCAGCTTTCGTGTAAAAATGTTTTAAAGCATAGCACTTGCGATGGTTGGCGAGGGAGAAGCTGTATACCGCAGCAAGTCCGTATTTCTCGCATCAATCGTTAACCGAATACCGAGTATTATGCGGCAACCGTATGCTTAAACTATAACTTTGAAAAATTATTAAAAAATAACCGACGTTCCTACAGGTATAAAAAAATATGTCCCTGTATAAGGTAGGTAGTCCGCTATCCTGGGAATACGTTTTTAGGGTTCACACTTTCGATGGTTGTCGAGGAGAAGCTATATACCGCAGCAGATCCATATAAACGTCAAATCAATGTATAACTATACGCTGATACCTCTACACTACGATATAATGGTAACAACGTTTTATAACTTTTGCAATACACTTGCTTAACGTCCCCGAACAACGTCGTGAGTGCTGGTGTCGATCGGGGTAGTTGTGGTTTTTCGTCGAATAAAATATACAAAACCCAGCATTGTCATTACTTTTGATGGCAGTCGATTTAGGATCAATAGCAATGTCCATATCATCATCATCACCACCATCATCGATGCGGGGAATTGGGTTGTAATCCATAGCGTCTTTCAAAATGTCTTTCGTAGCAATAGTATTGTTAGAATCGTCAACTTCGTTATCAGAATGATCATATTCATTTGACCCTAGTATTATTGGAAAAAAGTTAACACGGTTTTTACCAGACAGCATTTTGTAATTGCTGTCTGTAATGTCATATAACATTAAAAGTATAAAACTAGTGTTATTGGTATTACCATCCGTGTCGAACAATTCATCATAATTACTGCTTGTTGAAGCATCATCACTATCATCAGCATCACCACCATCATTGTTGTCACAACTATCAATTTCATTATTGCCTAGTATTATTGGAAAAAATGAACATGATAGTCATAAAAGATTAAATGTATAAAACCAGGGTTATTATTACCGCCAGGGGGGGGGGGGAATTCTTTAACATCAGTAGCTGACTCCAAAATTTTAAATGAATTGACTTTTGTAGATTCATCATCATTTTGTTCATCAACATTCATGACAGTCTTAGTTTTGTGAGATACATTTACTTTCAAAGGAAGTTTATCATCAATACTTGATACTGCAATTCATATCATAATCAATGTATTTAAAATAATTCAACAATTATAATGTCATAATAATGATTTCAAACAAAAATTACACTCTGGAGTCATATAACATTAAATGTATAAAACCAGCGTTGATAAGATCAATGTATTTAAAACAATTATAAAATAGTTAAAATATTGAAATTAAAAACGGTTATGTATTAGTAAAATAGCATTGTTATCTTTACCTTTAGAGAAAAATCCAGCGTCATTCTTCTCACAAGTGACTCACTGACATTCACAATTGTCCGTCCCAAAAAATTCTCTACCGTAAAACACAGTCAACTCTTGGCCCTTATGTATGTTGCATACAGTTTTTACGCAAGACAGTTTTTTGGTACGACTGTACCATTGGACATTGAGTTCACAGTCATGGTTTAGGAATGCGACCGGACCAAGGAAGATATAATCCTTTTTGTTTATGCATGATGTTACCGTTGAGAAATCGTTAATTCCTTTTTTCAAGAAATCATTACTTATGGGAACAATTGACCACACGATTCGTATAAACAAATATTTGCACTTATGCTCTTCGTCACTTCTACCCTTGCCCTTAAATTAAACATGACAGCATTTTGTAATAATAAAAATATAATAGCATCGTTATAATAAATTATGATATATAATTGCATAAATGGCGTATAACAGAAAATGTCTGTCTGTAAGGTGTCAACACTAGCCCGAATGCTGGACATAGCGCTTTCATATGAAAAAAAAATATATTACCATTTCCTTCATTGAACCTGCAGTGATGATTGCAAACGGCAACTTCTTTGATACAATACTTTTGTATATGTCACGTTGTTTCGCCAATATTCCGTATTCACTTTTTGTAATTGAGTCGAGCATAGGTTGGTGGTTATGGTGTGTTTTAAATTGCAAATATCTGTCTAACACAGATGATAAATAAAGATCATCAGCATGACACAGAACCGCTGCACGTCTATCCTACACAAGTCAATGATCATATATTCATATATATTATGTATATTATACTATGCAGACAACATTTTTTTGGTTAAAAATATAAATATAAAATGATCAACACGAATAATATCAAAATAACGTCATTATAAAAAAAGTTATATTAACATTACAAAATATTGTCTGGGAATTACATTACGATTATGGCCGCAACATAAATACTGTAATATTATTTTAAAAGACCGCATTCTGTTTGGCACTATCCAAATATACTTACATATTTCGAAGGCATCATTGCAGTCGCTTAAATTGAAACAATATGGCCATCGAGCTATGACACATGAACATCGAGTATTTTATTTTAGTTGTATTATTAACAGGATTTTGAATTTGTATATTATTATTATTTGAATGCATATTATTAGTTTTAATATTGAAAAACAATATCAATTATCAGGAAAAAAAAATATTATTAATTCTTATTCTTTATCTTTATGCAGCCACCAAGATAACCGAGATAGCGTGTTAGAAAAAGACAGCAAATAAGAATAGTGCTGCTATCTTTTTTTATCACACACAACAATATGATTCAACGGGCGTAGATCACTTCTTCCAAAATGTAATATTATTGATAACATGTTGGAAGAACATTATTGCCAACATCAAAAAACAATAAATAAAATGATTCAGTTGTACCAACGCGGCTATTATATATTTTAATATTGATATTATATTATAATATCATTTTATATATTAATAGATTGAAAATATTATAAAATATTGAAAATACTAGTATTTATAATCAATGATATTAAACAATAAGCATTATGTTTATGTTATTACTTATTATTACATAACATATTAACATTGATTAAATTCGTAAATTAAATTCGTGACACGTGTTTTAGTCATAGTCAACTAAAACTATAGATGTTTATACTATAAAAAATTAAAATAAATGTAATTGTTCCACATATAAAATAGTTATCGTCTATAAATCACAAAAATATTGTTCATCATTTTAAAAAAATAAATAAAATTTAAATATTAATCTGCTGGAATAGGACCAATCTGACGTCTCAGATACCCATCATTAGCATGGCCCATTTGTGTAAGACATCTAATAATGTTGCCATGTTCATTAAGCTGCTCAATAGCTCTTTTCAACATATGAGTATTGGTAGCCCGTTCACTTCTAGAAGTTTGATCTCGGATCTAAACATAAAATAATATATAATGATAAGGTATGTATATAATATATATTGATAATTTATATAGTGTTAAAATATTTTAAAAACAAAATAAGTACTGTTAAGTTTTTGCTGGCTTGTATAAATTCTACAAAGAATTGATTTTCTAATATTCTTAGTTTCTCTATAAATAATAAAGTGTAATTAATTTAATTTAACTAATTTGTATAGAAATAACAATACTTTAAAGATTCTTACGTAAAAAGTCCCAGATATTTGGGTGATTTCCAAAAAACCTTAACAACTGGCTATGAAAGGACTCCAAGTAATTATTAGTCCTTATTTCACTACCAAAGACACTAATAAAAGCTGGTCCAACTTGATTCAGCCAAAAATTTTGTATGTATCTATTAATTAATATTAGTAGTTAAAAAAAAACTAAAATAATACTATAAATTTATGTATGTATTTTTCATTATTATGCATTAATATTAATGTATGATATTAATGCTTATATCTTTTTTTTTCAGATTTATATCAACTTCATGTTTAACTGAATCATTAGTTATGTATTTGAGTAAACATACTCAAATAAAAATGTTTGCATGCGATTGTACACGTCTGGATACTGCTGGATATAGGCTACAATTTCTCTAAAGCCATCTTCAATACAAAATTGTTGGCAATCTGCATGACCTCTGGAAGCTGGTAGATGGGCCAGTGCTAATATCTAAAGTATGGGTGTTTGTTAAAACTTTCATTTTAAAAATAGGTAATATAATTTAATACATTACCATGCGCAACACATTAGCGGCTATAACATTGGTCTTGATAAGGTCATATACCAAATTATTTTTTCGGCGGCAGTATCGTACAATTGACTGAAACATGTAATTATATAGGTGTTATAAGCATATGAAATTACTTGAATGTTAAATTGTATTCTTCACTTGGCAAAAATGGAACCAGCAGCATTGTAACCGACTTTCAGGAAACACTGTTGTAACTGCATTCATCAATCCACGCTCGAAATCGGTAATAATTGTTAAATTACCATAATTTAATGGTAGTAAATGACGGACTATTTGAAAAAATGCTGTATAAGTCTCTTCTGTGGCACTAGTCAAAAGTGCATACACCATCGGGAAAGACTAAAAAGTAAGGGTTAAATCATTTAAGTTTAAAGTTAATAGTTACTTCTAAAAAAAAAGTAACTTAAATTTTTAAATTGTAAATGCCCACTTTTGTAAACTTACAACATTTTTGTACACAACATGGAACGTCATTAAAGAACCTCTTCTCAATTGTTTAGGTGTACTTGGAACTGTTTTAAAGGTGCCATCACATCCTGCAGACTTGACAGCTTGGAGTTCCTCGCTAAACCTGTGGATAAACTGAATATTGGCAAATATAACTCCTACAAATACACCTTCTAAAATTAACGCCTGTTGAAAAAATGTTGATGGTGGTTCCTGTAGAGTTGTGGAATAATGGTTGTGTTCTTGCATATTCAATAGATTCACCAATTCTTGAATTGTCTCTGGAATTTTTGGTCTTCGACGGTTCCGCATTCTTTTGCTCCTCAGCTGAGCTTGTTGGAATGTATATCCCCAACTTCCACGAGGATGACTAAAAATTATAAACGTATAAGGTAATTATCTACTATTAGTGACTATTATCATAGGCTTAACCAGACCTCAAAGTTAGGGGGGGGGGGGCTTCAGTCCTATTTTTATAATAAATAAATTAAGTGGGGGACTCTCCCCCCACACCCCCCAAACCATATAGTTTTAAGCATTCCATATATATTTTTTTGTAATAGTGATTGATAGAATTCTTCTATCAAAACTTCTAGCCAAGTCCCCCCTAGTTACGCCTATGACTATTATATAAGTTTCTTTACCTAATGATTTCTTCATTATAGATTTGCCTGATTGGCAGAGACATAGCGCCTATTGCTATTGAGCGTTTTCCTACTGCTTGCCTCAAGAATGGCATATCCATGTCAACCTCAACAGATCCATGGTTGTGTCCACCAGGCTGAAGATCTAAATGATTCCCTTGATCATTAATGTTAACTATGGCGGTTGCTGCACAATATTGGTCTGCTTTCTTTGTTCTTTGTTTTTCACAAATCAAGTACCTTATGACAGAATCTAAGTATAACTATTAAAATATAAAGGATAAGTTCAATATACTAACATTTTATTCCTTACAACACTTTTCTTATAATATTTATAGTTAAAATTGTCAATGTATATTTTGGAGTTATTGTGTACTCCTGGTATGATTGTGTAAGTGCGATTGTGTTGTAAGTTTTCTAAAATGAAAAAAATTAATTAAAATTAAATATCAATGACTAAATAAATATTAATAATTATAACAATTATTTTCATAAAATATAAATATAAATTACCAGCTTCATAATTATCTATAGGTTCTTCATTTTCATCATTTTCATCATTTTCATCATTTTCTTCAATTACTAAATTATATTATATTTATTTAAAGTATATTGTAGCAAGTTAAATTATATTTGTAAATTACCTTCATCCAACTCTGAATCTGAACTATTATCTTCAACTAAAAAAATTTAATTTAAGTAGTACCCTAACTATTTATTTTAATAAAAAAAGTGCAATTTGGATTTTAATCTAAAACTCATTTACTGTCTGTTACTGATATTATATGTATATACTAAAAACCTCAATCAAAAGTTTGCATTATTTTTTAGATGGAAATTAACTTAATTTAGATACTTTTGAATAAAATTAACTTGATGTTAACACGTTAATCTTAAAAAAAGTTATTTATTAGGTTAAAGTTAATTTGAAAAAAACAATAATGAGTTAATTAACTTAACGTTCAACTTAATTTTAACTTGTTAATGCCCAGCCTTTAGTATTTAGAAATGAAAATTTAATTATTTTTACTTGCTATATAATAATTGTGATCAACTATGTGTCTGTCTACTGCAATTTGACCAATATCTGCATAAGTATGGTCATTTAACACATCTTCATTGCAATTCTCCATAGTTTTTATTATAATTAAACAATCTTTTAGATAAACACTGGTACGTGTTGTCGTATTGAGCAGTGGAGATACTTTAAAGAATTATATGTTACCTTGTTTTATTCAATATATCAGGGCTTGAAACCGAAAAACATTTTTCCGATTTAGATTTCGGTTTCGGATACCGGTTTTGATTTTTTCCTATTTCGGTTTCGGTTTCGAATACCGGTATCAATTTTTTCCGATTTCGGTTTCGGTTTCGGATACCGGTATTGACTTTTTTCGATTTAGGTTTCGGTTTCGGATACCGGTATCTATTTTTTCCGATTTCGGTTTCGTTTTTTAACGGTTTAAACCGGTATTCAAAATCGGTATCGAAAATCGGTTTCAAGCCCTGCAATATATTATGTTACTCACTACTATAAGGTGACACAATGGTGACTGGGAATTGGGATAATAGTGTAATCTTAATGGTTATTGAACATATAATAATAGTAGGATCCAGAAATTCCTTCCAAGATCAGGTTTTATAATTATAGGACATAGGTATTTCATTTTGACAATACCTATATAAAAATACACATGGAAATTCTAAACACAATTTGTCAATAAATAAATAAACACAGTTTGGAAAGTTGTTGGTTATAATAATTATAGGACATAGGTATTTCATTTTGACAATACCTATATAAAAATACACATGGAAATTTTAAACACAATTTGTTAATAAATAAATAAACACAGTTTGGAAAGTTGTTGGTTATAACTTATAATTTTCCAATAATATTGTAGTCAGTCCAAAGGATGGTGATTTTAAAATAAGCGGTAGACAATTTGAACAGTAAATTTAAATAATGTATATTTCTATAGTATAAATTGTACAGTAGTTTAGATTGTGAGTAGCTGATGCTGCTCTGGTCTTAACAGCTTAATTTAATTTGTGATTAACGTCTCTCTAAATGTTGTTATTCTTATTTTTAAATAAATTTATACATTCACTTGTAATGATTGTGTTTTATATGAATTGGACCACCTGAATTGCCCTGTAAGATCGTAATTATAAATTGTAATAAAAGAAATGATTATGATGCAAAAACGTAATTAATAATTATTTGTATAGAAATTAGACATACTTACTCCACAAACGCCTTTTCAATCTCCTGAATGGAACTGGAAGTTGTAAGCATACAAAATATTTGGTACTATATAGAAATCAATGGCTTATTATATTAATACGTACGTACATATTCTAGTTAAAGTTCATTGTTCATGACTAAATAGATTATAGATTTAATTATAATATTTTTCGAGGATTTTATTTCAGGTCTTTTTTTCCCGGTTTTTTTTTCGAATAAAATGTGATAGGATTGATAGAATTGATAGTATCAATTGTTCGTATACATCCTGATAAAAAAAAATTTTGAGGTTAATTCCACTGAAATGAATTAATGAATTTGGAAGATGTGCCCCCATCTCATGATTCAACTACTTTAACGTTTTTTTTTATGTTGCCTCGGGCTACACTGCTTGGTGAGCATTCCAGTTAGTGAAAATAAGTATATAATCTATTAACATGTAAATAAAAAAAAATATATTATTTTAAGGATAATGATGATGTAAATATTTCTGAATTTGTGATTGCTCGGGGTAAAACTTTAATTTTGAACAGTTTAATTCGGTTTGGAAGGGTTGAATTGTTAATGTTTGTGGAACAATATCAATCTTTGAATTTTTATTCATTTCGATGAAATAGATGAGTTCGTCGTCTGACATTGATGAATCCCTTTTCTCATTTTTTAGTATCTGCAGTAGCTTATTTAGGTCTCGTTTATATTCGTCTGTTTTCTGCGTAAATATCTTGTTTATTGTATGAAAATTAGTATTATTAAAATGTTGTTGGAGAATTGAATTTAAAAATGTTTTAATAAAGGTAACTTTTTTTTGAAATGTTTGAAAGATAATTGTTTTATTAATGACTGGTTCATATTTAGCAGAGGTTACGGAGTGTATTGTTGTTGGAAGCTGAAACAAACACACAATTATATATATAATTGAAATGTAAAAACCATTGCAGATGTTTTAAGAAAAACAAAAAAAATTACATTATAAAATATTGCTGAAGTAAAGTATGTTTCTTTTTTTTATGTTTAATATGTCATTTACTATTGTCTGATTTTTAATATTTTTAATTGAGTCATGGATCTTTGATTTATTAGGGTTGTATATTGTGTAACTATTGTATTTACTAATCGTTAAATAATTTTCATCGACTAATTCCAGTAGTGTTATTCTTGGTAATTTTTTTTCGATGAAACAGGACCGTAGAATACACATAATAACTCTGATGTGTTTATGTATATTGGATAACTGAGGACAAATAATTGGTAAATCATTAATAAATTTCAAATAATGATGTAGTATCAGACGGCATTTTGTAATGATAATATTATTTTTTGGATTTGTTAGGTATCATAGTGGGAGTTTCAACACCCCACGAACCTCTGGTAACTGACATTAGTTTTTTGAATATTTATTTATTTATTTATTTTTTTATTTATACTTCAAGAAGATAATGGGCCCCACTGAACATGTTCGTGTGGGGGCCCATAATATATATATCTACTTAGAATATCTCGTACCAGTTTAATGGCTCATCCTCTAACTAGATTGGTTTTACTTCAGGAATAATGTTGCATAAGTGATTTGCTCAGATACCTCAGATAGATTCGTTTCTATAACCCCCCGAATTTCTTTTTTCGATATGTCCGGAAATAATTGTGCACAAACGACCGGATTCCATGCACATTTGTGCGCAAACAATGCACTAACGATCTGCCCAAACAGAATATCAAAATCGAAATCAAGTGGGGCGTAGAAATGGACCCTTCACAGTTATATGTGTGTAGCTATTAAAACCCCCCACTGATGGATTTATCATAGCTAGTTAAACTACCATACCATCTTAATTTTTGCTAAGTCCAATGATATATGATAGCATGCTCATTGCTTAAATTTACCCAGTTGACCTGTATGATAAAATTATAAAAAAAAATTCAAATTCGATCTATTGTAAATAAATACGCCATACTTTTGGTAGATAGGCAACCTAATTTACCTATTCCATATGTGAAAGTGAATAGGTATTAAACATTTCCAAAGCGACGACGAAACGACGATCGCAACAGAACAACGAAGTCTAATTTTTAACCACACCAGAATAATTGTAGTTTATTTCGATATCTGAAAAAATTTTAAGTTTTACTGCGATGTTGTCAAATATTTGCAATGTTACTGGGTGCAAACAAATATTTTAACGTTATTTAATTTTATCAAGCGCTATAAAGGTTATTCTAATTAGGTGCAGTTATTAGATATTTAGGCTCAAACACAGCCCTCCCTGATACGTGCTATTAGTTAATTATGATTAGCACAGTGCAGTACTCGAAATGGAAATAATTTCGTACTGGTACACAATGACAACATTGTAGGTTAGGGGAGTGTCAGTTGAAACGAGAATTTTCCATTAATAACTACCAACTGTGCCATATGCAGTACCAAGAACATCCCATGAACATGTATTGAGGATTTGCGATGTTATTAACTAATGCATATTGATGTCATAATGATGTTAATGGGATTGCTAATGCCAGGTTGAGCAACTTTTAAAAAAGTATATTTATAAGAAGTTAGGTTATAAGTTATAACGTTTATAAGACTGCATTATGCGATATCTGTAGGATGTCTAGTGTAACTTCTATAATATGTGTATTTCTAAACATCTAAATCATGTTCAATTTGAACAACCATAAGACATCCATTTTGCCTATTATATTACATCTCTAGGAAGTTAATTCAATATCATAGCATGAATGTTATTAATGTTAGGGGAATACACCATAGCCAGCGGGGACTTTGGGGCAAATACCCCCACTCAAATTTTTTTATGAACATTATTGGGATTATAATGTAACAGGTTTACACAAGCTCTACTTGAAAATGGAAAAAAAATTAAGTGCCACCTCCTAAAAGAAAAAAATGTTTTCAGCTTATGAGACTGATAAAATACAATATAATATAATACAATGTAATATAGTAGGTATATTATATACTACTATTACTGTAGAATTATGAACCAATGACATCATTAACTGGTCATACTTTTTATTAGAATAACAATTAAACTTCAAATAATAGTAAAAAAACATGTTTATTTATTAATATAGCGTACATAATAAATGATAACATTTAATTCATACATTTTAATAAATATATAATAATAATAAAAATTATAATATATTAATTGCTTAATACAAAAAAAAATCTCTTTACTAGATAATAATAAAAAAATATATAATATACTTAATTATTGATGTATATTATACAACTGTATACATTATAATATAAATATAAATATAAAAAAGCAGCTTTAGGTATTTTATAAAATAAATGAATAACAAAAAATTATAATATACTAAATAATGTATATTATAAAACTGCAGTATAAAGTATAGATCATAATATAAATAAAAAAAACCCTCTTTACTTAATAAAGAAAGGTATGGTAAAAAAATTATTATAAACTTAATAATATTGATGTATAATATACAATTGTATACTTCATAATATGAAAAAAAAAAGGTTTTATTTGATATAATAAATGTATAATAATAAAAAAAAATTAGAATATACTTAATAATGCATATTATACAATTTTATACATCATATAAATAAAAAAAAACCTATCTTTAAATTTATAAAATATATTATAATAATAAAAAAATATTATAACAATATGACGTATACTTTGTCTTACAAATCTTATAATAATAATATAATGAGAGTGCACCGAGTCTATTTCTACATTCCACCTATCAAAAAAAAAAAAAAAAAAATTAAATATAGATAAATTTTGTGACATCTTATATCAATTTATAATTATTTACTAAATAATGTAGTGTGTCTTAAACTTATACGCTCTTCTTGTTCAGTCTCGATATTTCTCTGAATTAAATCAAAAATTTTTATGTTCTGGGCATAGTTTTCTTCCCTGTGACAGAGACTTTGCCCTGATCGAAAAAAAAAAAAAATTCAAAGGTGTTCATTCCTGGAGATTGGAAGTATATTATCGCTGAGGCAAGGTTGAATAAGCCTTTTTTTGTCATCGAGTCCATCGAGATGCAACAAAATGATTTTAAAGATTTCACTCCAGTAGAGAAAGCACTGATAAGGAATACGAAAATGAAAATCACAGAAGGTATGTGGATGAAAGTGACTAGTGATGATCCCACAAACGTATATTTGAGGAGCAGTCATAACATACTGAGACCATGGAGTATTTTTCAAATATACGGGAGAAAAATAAACTTAGCTTCATTGTGCAACTTGCCAGAAATTTACACAGAAGTCATGCCTATCTCAGAAGAGAAGAAGAAAGACTTAATTGATATGTGCGATTATTTGCCACAAGAAAAAAAACAATTTTATCAGGACTTACTAAACTTTTGATGGTTTATTATTTATATAAGTTTAAATCAAAAAGATAAAAAATATTTTACATGACAGTTTCATTTTGTATACTTAATTTTTCCTTTTAATATTATACTCAAGTTTGTCAAAAATAAAAAGAAGAATAAAATAACATAAATATTAAGTGAAACATTTTTTTTAAAAATTTAATATTATAAATCATATATTTAAAATTTTAAATGTATAAACAATAAAATAAAATAATAATATTTTTGCGTATTATGTTTCATTTTCGTATTTATACTTTAACATAAATATTATATTTTGTCCGATTAGTAGACTCAATGGATATTATATTATTATTACATTAAGGTAAGTTGATTAAGAGAAGACGGATGGAACAACGAGCTACGTGCAATGTTCAACCAACACGGACAGAAATGGTCCGTAATATTTTAAACGCGTCTATTGTAAAATGCGATCAGTGGCGCTTGTCCCGTTGTTCGGCCGAGCGCTTCAATTATTTCATTATGACTTAGAGTCATTACAACAGCTTTTTCAGTTGTCAAAGGTTCAAAAAAACATTTAAATTTTCTGTCATTAACACTGATACGTATTAAACTAGATGACTGAGACTTAATATCAACAATAACAGAGCCTATCATAGATGATTCCAATGGTACCTCAAAAAAATTTAATGATTTAAAAGTAAATACATTTAAAAAAATATTTCCATTTATACACTTAAAGATATTTTTGACAATTGCAATTTCATTAGTATTTAACATAATATAATTATTTTTGGAAACGTGAGTTGAAATAATGTAGTTTGAACTGCTAAGTTTTATAGTTTGAAAAAAAGTAAACCCATGATTTTTATTTAAAGTTATATTATCTACATCACATTCATTACTCAATACATGAGTTTCATCTAAATTAGCATTATCATCATGATTATTATTGTACAAAATGTTTGTTTTTTCTTGAATCCTATTAACCGCTTCTTGTAAAGGAAAACGTGAATGTGAAATACTTTTTTTTATAATTCCTAATTAACTTTCGTATTTTAAAGTGCTAAAATTATCCAGACATCCATGTGTCTTAACATAAAATGGTAGGTGAATTAAGCTATGAATATTATGAGTGATAAATTGTGCCCCATAATTATTTTTAAATTCGGCTACAAAGTCAATTAGTAAGTTATACCTATGCAACTTAATTTTTTGCTATGCATAGAACTGGTGTTACCAAAATTTTTATAGCACAGTATAATTTAAGAAAATGTAAATAAAATGTTTTTCTCAGTCTTCCTTTTAGTACAATTGGACCACTTTATAATAAAAAAGTTCTAAATTCATTTGCCTTCCAATATTCGATATCATTTAAAGACCTTGGAAGTCTAACAAATTCTGATGGGAAGTATTGTCTTAAACTGATTAATTCTTTATCAGCATCATATATTTTTTCATTAGGTATTCTTACAGATTGTTTTCCTCGCACCCAAAATTTTAACATACGTTTCATTGTTCCAAGACAAACAGCATGCATATAGTCAATGGGTACTGCTTTGATCATATCAATTGGCAAACGCTCTAGAGGGGTATTGCCTTTATGATATTCGTCATCATTTTTAGTTCTAAAACCTGTCAGTACGCAATGAAGCATTCACTTCCAAAAACGACATTCTATGCTCTCTATATTCACCCTCTACTGTGCACGTATTACACCCTACACGAGAATGATGGCCTAAAAAAGCTTTAGCCGGAGAATCACATATCACTTGTTTCATACATATTCTCATTATCCTACCATCAATAATAATTCCATTATTAATCAAATCTAACAATTCATTTATAAACAAATTTAAAAATTCCTCTATAGTATCTGGCTTTTTATCAGTACTAAAGTACAAACCAACAGTAAAAATAAATTTAGATAAATGAGGCACATTTATTATTGAACAAAGTATAGGCCAAAATTGTTGTTTGGAACTATTAGCTAAAGGCAATCTATCAATATTAAAACTTAAAAATATTTCATTTATGTTTGTTAAGTAACTTTTATTAAATTATAATACAGTCAATAGCATTTTTTTTAAACCTAAATGAATATAACTTCCAGGGTTCATACTAATTATATCATGGGACCTTGGAGTATGCATCAATGTCCTAACATCTTTTGGTAAATTTAATCCCTAAGACCTTAATATATTTAACAAACTATTTACACCGTTTTTTGAAATATTGAAAGCATCCACTGTTGCAGTTTATCTTTAACGCTAAGTTTATTACAAGTAGTATAATTCATATTGTTTGATCCTAACGTATCAGTAATTGTATCTATTTCCAATCCTATCTCTTGTGATAAATTAGTTTGATCGTGAGGTATAGGATTATCAGGTTCAGTATTATGTCCCTCAAGGGAGTCATCTGTCGCCAATATTGTTTTCATTATTTATAAACAACCTCCATCGTGCTACATCACTGTCAATTTCTGTGTTTTGCTGATGACATCAAATTATATCTGCGTGTAACCACGCCAGATGATTGTACAAAACTTCAATCCGACCTAGATCGATTCTCAAATTGGTTCAACACTTTAGGTTTAGCACTTAATCTCGATAAATGCAAAATTACGACCTTCACTAGACCCCGTTCTTCTATAATGTCCCCATACTTCATCAATAATATAGCTATTACTCGTACTATGGACTATGTCATGGATCTTGGTTTCAAGCTAAGCTGCAATCTTAACCCAACTGCTCACATCGAGTACGTGTGTTGTAAAGTTTTGAAAACCCTTGGTCTCGTCATCCGATTTATTTATTTATTTATTTATGCATATGACACTTTCAGCTTATCAATAAATTCAAGTAGTTGCTTTAATTACAATATAAAATAGCTAGTAAAATAAATAAAGTATAAAGAATAAAATATGTAACAACAAAACAATAGTCAAAATAATCAAAATAATCAAAATAATTAAAAGGTAAATAAATAATAGTGGTGATAATAATGGTAACAACATAAACAATGGTAACTATAGTGAATGGGTAACAAGTAGGAAGGATCACAAACGTATAGTGAGTTCATCGCACCATTTGGCGGCTGCCGGGCTGCCCTCGTGCAATTTGGCTAATCCTCCTTCAAACTTCGTGTTATGACATGTCTGGACAATGTGATTGATAGTTTGTTTATCGCCGCATTCGCATAGTTGAGAGTCGGACATTCCCCATTTATGGAGTAAGTAATTGCATCTTCCCTGTTCCACACTGATGCGGTTGAGAGTTGTCCATTGGGCCCGTGTAAGATCCCAACCAGGTACTTTTATAGTTGGGTCAGTTACAAGAGTTTTGTTACGAGTTTCTGCTATGCCCCATCGATTTTTCCATAGCCCTTCTATGGGCTCTTCGGGTACTTTATTACGCCAGATAGGGTACCTTGAGCTTAGCCTTATTGGAGGATGTTCCAAAATATCCTTTTGTAGGGGCAAGTTTTGAAAGGTGCTCAGTTTTAAGATGGTTTTTGAGGAATGAGATAACCTCCGGAGGTCGGGAGGGGCTATATTTGATAGGACCGGTAGCCATTCCGTCTGTGAGGATCTTACAGTTCCTGAGATGATTCGCATGGTGTGATTCAGTTGTACATCCACTTTCTTACAATGCGCAATTCTTCCCCAAACTGGTGAGCAGTACTCGGCGACACTATACACTAGTGCTAAGGCTAAAGTTCGGAGTACACTGGTGCTGCATCCCCAACTGGTGCCCGCTAGCTTAGCTATGATGTTGTTGCGTGTTTTTAACTTATTTTTAACGGATTCCAGGGGTTGGCTATAAGTTAGAGTTCTGTCGAATTTCACTCCTATGTATTTGGGACAATCTTCAGTAGCGATTTTTTTACCTGTGATCAGTATTTCAAGTTCTTTTTTAGCTTCCCGATTGTTGAGATGGAAGGTTCTTGTTACTGACTTATCTGGATTAAGTGTTAGGTGCCACTTGTGAAAATATTTTTGCAATTTGTCTAGGTCTACATTTAGCGTATTCTCTAATTCTGCGAAGCTTCTGGCTTGAGCTACTAGCGCAACGTCATCCGCATACATAAACTTTCTTGATGACGTTTCGGTAATATCTGCTATATATGCGTTAAATAATAGTGGAGACAGTACTGATCCTTTCGGGAGTCCATTTTGGAGGCGCTTGTAGTGGCTTTCTTTGCCGCTAAGAGATACACGGAATTTTCTATTTGACAGGATGTTATCTATTAGTCGTACCGTTGTTCTGCATTTTAATATTTTTGCTAGTTTTAGAATTAGACCTCTCTTCCAGACTGTGTCAAACGCAGAAGAAAGGTCTAAGAAAACCGCGCCGGACTTTTGCTGTCTTTGGAACCCGTTTTCTATGTGCGTGGCAAGAGCTAGCGCTTGATCGCAGCAATTTCTGTTTTTCCTAAAACCGGCTTGTTCGATGGGCAAGGATGCTTCAATTATCGGTTGTAAACGCGCCAGGATCATTCTTTCGAAGAGTTTGTATGTAGATGATAGCAGAGATATTAGTCTATTGTTTTTGGGGTCGGTGGGTTCTTTATTAGGCTTTAAGATAGCTATAACTTTGGATTCACGCCAAGACTTTGGGATGTTATTCGAGTTAACTATGTTTGTGACAAGTGTTGCAATCCAGTTAGTGCTTCTGGGTCCAAGGTTTTTTAGAAACTCTGGAAGTACTCCATCCGTTCCAGCTGCTTTTCCATTTTTGACTGATTTTAGTGCGTTTAGAACTTCCTCTCTGGTAAAGTCTTTCATGAGTGCCGCCTTTTCTTCGCATAGGTTTAGTAGTTCTGAAAGTTCTTTTCTCGCTTCTATTTTTTCGCTCTTTTGGGGTTTGATATTAGACGTTCTGAACAGTCGGTTAGCTATATCGCTGGCTGCAACACTTCCAACTTTCCTTGATGGCTGCGCGGCTCCTAGTTTTCTCAAAAGGGCCCAGCTTTTCCTGCTCGAGTGGGTGTAATCCATCTCCTCCATTGCAGAGGTCCACCTATTCCTTCTTTCCTCGTCTAATAGGGCCATTAAACGATTTGCAGTTACCTCACTTCCCGATTGATCGTATTCTTGTAGTAGTAGCTCGCATTCCTTATTCCAGCACGGTATATAGTTCTGTCTATGTCCTCTTGGTATGGCTGTGGTAGCAGCTTTCTTGAATAGTTTTACGAATCTAAGGTAATTTTCTGGGATAGGCGGTATTCGGTTGATATTATCTTCCATGTATTTAGTGTAATCTGACCATCTTGCTTTACGAAGATTCCATCTTTGTATTGCGGGCTTACTTATTCGTGGGAGGCTGATCCCTGTATCTATAACAACTGGTTTATGTTGGCTCTTTGGGAATTTTTGTAAGATGGCACGGGAAACTAATAGGTTGGTCGTTTTTGTCTATTGATACAAAACATAGGTCCGGGGAAGTAGTCGTGCCCCATCTACCTGACTCAAATGTGCCTTCTTGTTTAGCATCATATACTAAATGCAATCGGTTAACAGCTGCCCAGCTAGTAAGTTTTCCCCCATCTTCATTCTCGTTTGGGTAGCCCCATTCGGTGCTGTGTGAGTTAAAGTCGCCTATATAGATCGTTGGGTATTGTTGGACTGGAAGCACTGAGTTAGACCACCTTTCCGAGGGTGGTTTATATAAGTTGTAGATTGTAAGATTTCCTATGCGTATGCCAATTGAGTGTATATTTCCAGCTATGGGAACCACGTTTGTCTCTTCTATGTTTTGATTAGCATAAGTTGCCAGCCCGTGTTTGCGATGTCCTATATAGTCGATCATATTGAAACCGAGGATTTTCAGACGACTGGTATCGCCTTCCTGCACATGGGTCTCTTGTAGTGCGAGTACATCTGCGTCTTTGAACGTTTTGCTTAGGATATCGGATTTGGCTCTCGTTAAACCTTCGACGTTCAGGTGAACAACTCTTATACTTCTTAGAGATTCATTTTTACTTGGGTAGGGTGGATCTTCGCTGTTTATATTGTGTGTTTTTTTATAGGTTTTATTTTTGTATTGTTTTTTGGTTATTCTTTGTTTAGCACGTGCAGCGTGCAAGTCAAAAGAGCCCTGAAAAGGGCTGTTTTTGCCGAAAAAGCCAGGAGGTCCAAGGACGTCTGGCTGTCTGTGTGATGCTATTTGGTTTCGTGTGTTCATTGTAGAAAATTCGCAGTTCAGATCCTTTGAAAATTCGAAAACACACTACTCACCGGGGAGACCACGTGAAGGTATAGCATCTCCTCCCCGGTCATCCGATTAATAAAGGATTTTCGGCTCGAATCGTCATTAAAAACACTTTTCTGTGCGCTTGTGCGCCCCATTTTAGAATATGGGACCGTAATATGGGACACTCATACTGCAGACAATGCAAGGCAAATTGAGCGTGTTCAGCGCCGGTTCCTACGCTATGCTAGTCATATACTTAAGATACCTTGTGCACCTCATAACTATACACCGGTTGCTATTCATCTAGGTATGGCATCCTTAGCCGAACGTCGCCGTGTCGCAGGTCTTTTAAACAATAATATAGATTATCCAGTCCTTCTCTCGCAAATCTCCATTAAAGTTCCATCCCGTCCATCCCGCTCAAAGGCCCAAACGCCACCACTAACTATATGGCTAATGT